GGAACAATATTCTGAAATAAGTGTATTCACACAGGAAACTATACAGATACTTCTTCTTTATCTTGGAATTGCATCTGTTTAGCAAGTACTGTGATCCTAAAGGAACCATCTTGCCTGTTACAATGGGAAATGTGAGAAGGGTGTAGAATTTGTTAAAGGAAAATGAAGGACACTTGTGAATACATACACACTCTCATTTTGTATCTTCCCTCTAGACTCTGTCTTTTCTAAATTATACTGGAAGTGCTCTGTAAAATCTTTGCCAACAATGTCCAGCTTAGGTTGGCAACCTGAATTAATATACATCTAGCAAGAGCCTTATGGAGGAATTTCAACATTATCTCCCTCCCACACCCCACCCCAACTTGTTCTCCCTTAAAGCTCACTTTTCCAAACCAAAAGTACACATCTTATCCACATTACCCAAAGTAAAACCCATATTTGTAGTTTGTCAGCTATGTTAATGGCAACTCTCCATATTCTGATAATGTGTGTAGGAGAATGAAAAGGATCATCTATCACTTCCCTTTGGAAGACTGAACAGCTTTGGTGATCAAGCTAGTAATGATGTTGGATGTACTGTGTTACCAGATTTGCCCGTCACTTTGGGGTGCACTGATTTATTAGGTGTATGTTTCTGGGGTCTCTGTAATTCTATCAATGTGCTGCTTGTGTTACTTGTGTTTCTACATGGAGCTGTATCTCTCCCTTCTGCAAGTCCTCACCCCCAATGGAGCTATCTTGCAGGACTCAGTTTCAGTGGGACTGGGTTCCTCCAGCCACCAAATCAGTCAAACACATGCACATGCACACACACAGAGTAATAGAGCATGTCTGAGCCAGCTGGGTCGATCAGCATGTACAGGTTGACACCCTTATATGCCGTGGACTCAGTTCATCAGGGCAGCAATAAAATACAGTCAGACACAAGCACACAGGTTAACAAAATACTTCTGAATCAGGATGGGTGTCCAGTTGACAACTTCATGGGAGAGAGAGAGAGAGAGACGGAATCTCACCATTCCAAGGCACTCAGGATTTTTGTTGACAGGCAAAGTTCCTAACATGATCATTGAAAGTTAAACAGGTGATGAAAAGAGATGATCTGTTTATCCCAGCTTCTCAAGAACAACAGTGGATGGTGTCAGAGAAATTTCTCCCTCTTGACGCACACTGTTTGTTGCTTTACAGCTTTCTCATACCCTTAGTCCAGCCTCTTCAAAGCATTCTTTTAATTGTGTAAATCAAGAGGGTCCCAAGCCATAATTGGCAGGGAAAATCCTATTATTTAAACAGTTTCAATTTAAATGAATTACCTTTCTCCGAGACAAGGGGTTATCTGGTTTGAAACATCTCAAGAAACTGATTAACAACCAGGAAAAACATAAGGTTTTAAGGAATAACCAGACACCTCGGAGTAGCTTGAAATTATTATGAATATAGAAGATAAACTGGAAGGGATACTTCTTTATTTCTTTTCAGATGGCCTAGTTATGCTCGCACTGTGAAGTCAGCATCAGTGTTTTGTATTTTACCTGTTGTAAATAAGCTTCAGTTTAGCATGAGTTTCAGATCTTGCTGTAGTCTTTTACTGGTGCCTTGATTTGGTCTGTTTTCTAAAACAGGAAATCCCAAGGGCACATGGAACAGACTTAAGGGGATTACTTGGAGTGTTCATAAACTCTGTGGGGAGGAATTCCACCAGTCATCCTGGGAAAAGTATGGCAGCATCTGTGGTCAGTGCTCCAGCGGGCTGGGCATTGTGATGAACCCTTAACCATTGTTCAAATGTCACCCATACCTCCCTCTGACTCGGTCTCTTGTCTCAGCATTCCCTAACCTGGCAACCAAGTTTCAGTCAATTAAGTTTAAATAGGCTTCCTTTACTGGGACCAGGGAATGTATGGCCCAAGATACCTATTAAACTTTTTTTCTGCTTAGTTCTGCTTAGGTGCGGGGAAGAACAAGTCCTTTGTAATTCCAGCAAGATGGCTGCCAGGGTTCCCTCAGGAACACAAAGCTGACAGGTAACAACTGTATCATAGAGGTACTACAGGAAAAAAATAAAACGTGAGACAGCGCATTACTAATGCCAGAGAAAAATGTATACTGTGAAAATAGCCTGGTAAAAATGAATTTGGAGAACACTGAGGAGCAATAAAAATGTTAATAAAACATGAAGGTCAGAAAACCGGTGTGGCTTGCTGCTTTTGCCTGGCAAGTCCGGCTTGGAGAAGGACACTTCAGATTGGTGGAACATTTCCACCAATCAGCTAACAGCTGGGAGGGGCTTGCCCTGCCCCTGCTGGGAGGTGGTTGGGAGATGGGAGGAGCCCCTGGACCTGATTAAAGACTGCACTTTGCAGGTCTGGCAGACTTCAGGGGTGGGGCCTCCAGTGTAAATAAAAGCCCAGCGTGCTCATCACAGTGCAGGGGAGACCTGTGAGGCTGCTTGGGCCCATCACGGTGCTCAGTTTGGTGCATGGAGCCCAGGCTTTGGGAGCTGCAGGGAGCAGCTCGAGCCTGCAACCCCGGCAGGGCCAGTGGGCCACATGGTGCGTGGGGCAGCACCCTTTCACAGCACCCTCTCCTCCCTACCCATCCCATCCAATTATGAATAGGGCACACCCTTGGGTTACAGCAGGAAGGAAAATTCAGTAACAGTTTTAAGAATGTCTCCCAAGATCATTCAAATATCAGCACTTGTCAACAGATGCCAGGCTACATCTTCCCTCCCATTTTCTGATCTTTACAGTTTTTAATAAAAAAATAATGATAGTACTGAGCATGCAAATAGCACTTAACATGAACAAAGTACTGTACAAACAAGAACACTCACATCAACACTTGAATAAA